GTCCACTGCTGGACATAGTCCTGTGAAACAAGCTATCGTCTGCGGTATTTCTCTTATAACTAAAGCCGGCAACGCGCTATGACTCCTAAGTTGCAGGTGTTCATGGGCGGCGGTGGTTGCTTTCCATCAGGTGACCCGTCTGTTCGTTTGACCTCTCTTCCATAAAAGAGGCCTCTCCTTAGAAAGGAGGTTTTGGTCTACTATATCACGCTGGCCAGACGGGTTGGTATAGGGCTTGTGTCAAGTTTTTGTTCCTTTTGCAGTGCTGCTGTACTATCGTAGTTTGCTCCCTTAGTCGGCTCTCACGACACCCACGGGTTGAATAGGGGTGGTGACATTCCGTATTCTTAATCCGTCACCACACGGATAGGACGGAATTACGCTTGCCCCGTATTCCGTAAGTAAGATTTAAATACTAACGGAATGTGTGCGTTTAATAAGCCATAGCTATTGCGCAATGCAGAAATACCAACTATATATTATTTATTATATTTTATTATTTTTACATTTAGACTCAAGAATAGTCCTTTATGCGTCGAGGAAGGGTTGCTTGAGGAGCAGACACGGATGATCTCCTGCGACATGAGGGCCCGGCAAAGTTTGGATTTCTGGTCTGAGAGTGGATCCCTCTGGTGGACTTCCGAGACTCATGAAAGAACTAGGCCTCAGATTTGTGCACAGACATCGGGGATAAACTTTCATTTAGAAGACGCCACACGAGAACGTCACCTTCAGTAGGCCTTCGTGGCGAGGAACCCGTTCACCTGAGACAACACTCAGGGCGGCAAAAGTCGTTAGAAGGCACGCTAGCCATGGAGCGTGTAACGGGTACGGAGAAATCCTCTCCAAGGACTGCAATGAGCTCCCGACGCTACGTTGACCAGTGTGTGCCGAGCCGAGTTCTGCTCATTGCAGTGGTGACAGGCGCAACTCAATTAACTTCTAGCGATCAACTGCTGGTACCGCCCTAAGCAGACGTTATAAGATGTACCATTATAAGATGACCGTCAGGACCGCCTCCACGGCACCAAAACCAGTAATTGGAGCCTTTAGACAGAACGACCAAAGAGTCATGGTGGCTTGGCAAGGTGCCTTTAGCCACGCCTTTAAATCTCATGGGAGCGATCCGCCACCACTCTTTAAAGGTTAGCATCCTCAGAGGTCCTCCAGAGATCCTCATTCTGGGCGATCAAAGCTTCCGTCCTAGTGTTATTAATTGGACAACCCTAGATATGATGAACCTAGATATAATCTCAACTACAGCTGCATATGTAGCAACTGCATTTTCTTGTGCGCGCACACAGCCTCAATCTTTGCAGGTATCAGAAAATAATAGCAAAAAAAGTAGTGACAATTATGTAATATAAATTCTAGATGTCAGTCAAACTTAAACATTTCTACAGAATTAAGGAATTGTTACATTGTGTAAGTATGTGCATCCTTACTGACGCAGTTCCTTTTATGTTAGGCACATATTTTTTCTTTGTTAAAAAAATCTGCGCGCGCGCCCCTTTGTAACCTCGCGCCCCTGGCATTCGAAGGCAACACCAGTGGTCACTGTGTTGACCTCCAATGCTTTTAGGACGGCTATGTCTGGAGGTATTCGAATGTTATAGCCCTTTTTTTTTTTCTTTTTTTTTCCGTGCGGAAATCCCCTCGGATACCACCTGTCGGTGGCATGTCGGCCTAATACACCTAAATACACCTTGACATGGCCGTTGTGGCGGCGTAAGTTATTGCCACACATTCGCATTAGAATATGGAACTGTGTTGGCCTAATGCTGTTGATATGTTCATGTTTAGGTCTTGTAAGAAAACTCCGGCTCCAGTTCCCGGCCCAGTCTAGGAACCGTCCGTGTAAATTCGGACTGTTCCTAGACATAAACGATGTCGTATTGATCTCGGTAATTTTCTTGTCTGAATATGTCCTATCGCATGGGGCTGTTATTAGTGGTTCGTATTCCACTAATTGATCCCATAATTTGGACTGCGATCCCTCACCTTTGTGTCACAGACCCAGGTGTCTAAGTCTAATAATCGCCATGGCTGTCTCATACTATATGAACAAATCCAGTGAAGGCAGACCTAGACTAGTGTCCGCAGTGACAGCATAGCATGGGAGTCGCTGGAATTACTGCAATTTGTTTATGACGGTGCTTAGCTCTGTTCTATGGAATAAGATAAAAGAGGATTAATGAAATGAAACAACAGGTACAGATCAAATAACAGAGTATAATAAAATTAACAATAAAATATTAAAAAATATACCCTTTTATAATAATAAAGTTTTTATTTTAATAAATATATACTATCTAAAATATTTCGGCTAGTCTCGCTCTGACGGGCCTCTCGTAACGAATGCTTTAGCATTACTCTTGACGTTAGCCTGAACTGACATTCATGGAATCTGTGATAGACGCAGATACTTCATCTTCACAAGCGTCTGTGTAATACCAAGTTACCATTGCAAAATGGACATTCAACCAGCCTCAACTCTTAATATGTGAGAGGTGTGAAAACGGGGTCAACACTATGAGTCTTTATAGTTTAAACGATTTGTAACATGTCATCTGTCAAAATATCAGATATTTAATTATTAAACATATACTTTTCACTTTAATATTCAAATAATATTTATATTGTAAGCTGATGACTTGGCGACTTGACTGACTGACTTTTTTGCAAACTGATCAATATCGGCTTTATATAAAAACATTTCTACAAACTTTTATATAGGAGATTTTTTTTTCATTGGCAACTCCACTTTAAGTGTCTTACTATCATAAATCTAGTATGCTTTTTGTTAGGTTTTCTTATGATTCTGCAAACTGGCATAACAACTTAAATGGAACCACGTACTTTGATTGTACTCATGCTACGAAAAACTTAATTAGATATGTGTATTATTAGTACAACACTAATAGATCGCAACACTAATAGAATGCAACGCACTTAGACACATACAAGATCACATTTAGTGAACTTTATTCCATGTGAATAGTGGTATTTTTTTGCCAAAATCTATACCATTCATTTTATCGAACATTAAGCGACTCTCATGAAATGTGTGTAATTAACTGTAATTTAAAAGCTTAAGAACATCATTGCAAAATTTATAAGATTTGTAGCAGTGTTGCCAAATTCACACATGGTTGCAAGCAACAATCATCATCAAGCAACATTACAACACATGCATTCTGGTATTTTATTTTGTAATAAACTCACCAAAACACAAATATTACACTACTGTCAAGAAAAAAAATCTATTCCTAGATATTTTGAAATTGTCTACTAATAAGATATTGAAAAACATATTGTAAAAAAGTGTGATTTTTCTTAGCAAATATTGTATAAAATAACTCATCAATTAGGTAATTGATTATTTTTATAAATTCAATTTAAAAAATTCAAATGGAAGAAGCCTATGTTTAGAAGTGCACCAGAAAAAAGCTGAGGAAGAAGAAGATATAAATTCTAAACATGAGCTACTGTTTAATGACTTTTTGCGTGCGTACATGGCGGTGCTATCTCTTAAATGAAAGAAAATAGCAAAATGGGCTCAAAGATGTTAACGATGATTACTCGTTATTATAAACCGTGTGGTGACGGATTAAGAATACAGAGTGTCACCACCCCTATTCATCCCGTGGGTGTCGTAAGAGGCGACTAAGGAAGCAAACTACGCAGGACAACAGCACTGCAGAGAGAAGGAAAACTTGAAACAAACCCTTTACCAACCCGTCTGGCCAGCGTGGTATAGTAGGCCAAAACCTCCTTTCTAAGGAGAGGCCTATGTCCAGCAGTGGACTAGTAAAGGCTGTTGATGTGATGATGATGTGATAAACTGTGATATACCTATGTCTACTAAAAGAAACTTTGTCCTATTGCATGTACCAATTAGGAAGTAATCCAAACTATTTTTACTTAAGTTAAATTTGTCAATTGTCAAGTCAAATCAGCTTACACGAACATAAAAAAGTTGATATTTTGTGACGTCCCATCACCGTTTTCTTTGTTTTCAAATTCAAATTATTCGTTCTATTAAATCATTTATTTTATTTCGTATCCTGAAGATATTAGAGTGATGCATATGTTCTGAAATGAAATTATCTCTTTTGGCGGAGAATCAATCAATTTTGTAATTATTGATTGATATCAAACGGCACGCTTATAACTTTGATATGAATATAAAATCTTTACAATATACTGTAACATCTTATGTAATCAATAAATATTCGTAAAATATAATTGACTATAAACTCAGATTAGTATCTTTTTATTTAACGTTTTTGACGTTAAGTAATATACCAAAACAACATAACATATCAAAACAAGAACAAAACGTACAAGAGTATTTTACAAAATATAATTGGTTAAATAAGTCAAATAATGTTGACTCTGGGAAACTATTTACTTGTAAATTCACTATTTAAAGCAAGAGTTTGAAAGTTGCAGTTTGAAAACCGCAGTTTGGAAAGTTACACATTTCAAATTCAAATGGTGGTGTTGTCACTCTTCCTCAGGCTGAATTCAAACTGTGTAACCGTAAATAAACTTTAAAATACAATTACAAACGGGCCGTCAAATATCTAAATATAATATTCATACTAAATTACTATAAAGACCCGTTAAAATGGTCGATCGCATCAGAGCGCCTTGCAACGCAATCATTGTCATACAACTAAACTGCCAAGTCCTGAACCTGTCATAAGTTGTAATAAAACATGTTCGAACGACATGGCATTATCACATATGCGTGTTCGACGCATGTACATTTACATAATTACACTTATTGCATAAAACATATGACGAGCAACACAACATGTAGCACGTGACAAAATATGAGCGACATTTTACAAAATTGAACATTTTCCTTTGTCAGTAATTGGGACAGATCTTTGCTCTAGGCTAACTTTAGTCGACCCAGAGACGTAAGGCGTTATAAATAAGACAATAGAGAGTATTGCGTTGGCCTTGCCGTCGCTCTCATAACCTCAGAGTTACTTTTTAGCATCGCTTTGTACCATATAATTATAGTTGATGAATCTAAAGCCCTGCGTGAGTTGCGCGCATTCGTTGGTGAAGTGGCAGGCAAAGAGCAGCAAGTTCCGCGGTTGCACTTTCCACGCGAATCTCATGAACATCAACGAGTAGAGAGTGAGAGCTGGAAATAATGAAACTTAGTATTAGAGTCACATTACATCAAGTAACTAATTAACAAAATCCGTGTGGTGATGGATTGAGAATACGGAATGTCACCACCCCAATTCATCCCGTGGGTGTCGTAAGAGTCGACTAAGGGAACAAACTGCACAAGACAACAGCACTGCAAAAAGAAGGAAAACTTGAATAAAACCCTTTACCAACCCGTCTGGCCAGCGTAGTATTGTAGGCCAAAACCTCCTTTCTAAGGAGAGGCCTATGTCCAGCAGTGGACTATTATAGGCTGTTGATGATTGATGATGATGATGAACTAATTACTAGTTGAGGAATTACTAAGATCAATAGATATTACATACCCTAAGGTATGTAATTGCCGCACTATCCACATCATCTGTAATATGCCCTGGTCTGGTCTGCTGTTCTTTAGAGACCAGCCTGTGCAACATGAGACAGTGCAGCATGGTTGAAACTCCAGGCAATTTAAAGATATGTAACAGGTACATATTAATCGCGTTTATTCCCGAACTAAATGAAACGCAACAGCTTAAAAGTTAGATGATAAACTAGTACAATTTTAATTCTCAAAGTGACATTTTGGCACTTTGCCTCGGCATTTCCACTATTACGGAAAACTAAATTCTCTCTGGCAAATTGTGGACTTTGCGGATAGATGCGTGTGTGTATGGATGTTTAAAAATAAAGTACTTAAAATTAAAAACTAATTTTAAACATTTAGGAAATTACTGTTTTCATCAATAAATCGTATTTAAAAGGTATCTTATATACTTGTTATTTTTTTGTTTATGGGCACATAAAATTGTGTGGAGATCGAAAGCTAATATTTCAGTTTCCTGCATATTGCATTCATCGTAAACTGAATACGAAGAATATGTGACCAATAAACGAAGTTTAAATATCGCAGAAATTTAAATGTCAACCGACTTCAAAAATTAGAACGACCGACTTCAAAACGCCCTCATTCTTACACCGCTACATACATCGATTTTTGTCATAACTCCGATTCAAACTTATCGGAACCGAAGTCAAAATCGGAGATGTAGAATGAACCGAAAGTTCTTGGTGTGATGTGGGTATGTTATCCATTAGGGGTAATTCTACTGTTTGGTGTCCAGTGGTGATGACATCTTGTTTTTTGATGCGATTTATTACTTCTCGAGATGGTTCTGGTACCTATTAAAGTCGAATATCCATAGCATCCTTAATTGTTTTGACGACCGGATGGCGTAGTGGTTTGTGTAACGGACTGCTATTCCAAAGGTCGCGGGTTCGATTCCCGCTCAAGTCAAACATTTGTGTGCATGAACATTGGATGTTTGATTTGGTCTGGGTGTTTCTATGTATAATATGTATGTATTTACAAAAAAAAAAGTATATGTGTATTTCTATCAGTTGTCTAGTACCCATAGTACGAGCTCTGCTTAGTTTGGGACTAGATGGCGTTGTGTGTATGTGGTAGAATATTATATTATATTGTAATACAATCTCGATAATAATTTTATGAACACCAATGTCTGCGTCACCTATTTTACACTGTTATGTAAATATTTACGTCTTCAACTAAAGTTGTAAAGTGATACAACACAGACGAATCTTCGATAACGAACGACCTTCAACAAAATGTTGAAATAAATCCTTATCTCACTTGATACTTCAGTTATCATGTCCCTTAAGTTATGTAAATAATACAATCTGTATACGTAGTCTATTGAGAGTGTAAAAGATATCAGAAGATATCATGACTACGTTTTAAAGACATTGTTATTTCGATTTCATTTCAATTGTTTTTTCTGTTTTAGGGCATCGAGCAGACGGGTCGCCTGATGGTAAGCGACTACCGCCGGCCATGGACTCAAGGGTCACAGAGTTTTTAGTCTGAAGAGGAACGGGTGTCATGTCCCTCCAACACAAACGTTGATGTTAGGAAGTTGTATACATGCTAATCGGCGAGAGAATTCTTCATATCGCGATACAGGATTAGCAATTGTCATTCACGAGTTACTGCGTAGTTCGGTGTGGCTTCGTTAGATGGCGCTGTAGTATGTTTCTGTTTTATAACCTTTCAACTGTGGCTGTCAACAGAATTGTATCTCCCGTATCTGTGGATCCTAGAGTAGGACTTTCAACAGACAGGGATTTATGCACTTTTTATTATCATATAGGTTTAGAAAATTCTCATTTTTTCAAAAGTTTAACGAGTTTTTAAGTAACTCCTATTAGTATTATCAATAGAATAAGTTTCTTCGTGTAATTCTTTACACTATACTTGACTTGGAATTATATATTTTTAGTTTTGAGAGTATTAATATGGGTTACCTAGAACTTACCTTTCATTTTCTAATTATTAAAAAATAAAACATTTGCTGAATAAAATATTGTATATTTTTTAAACAATATTATGTAAGTAATAAAATAAATATCAAATGGCATAATGTTCCCATACATTTTTTGTATACCACATCTGTTTCTTAACTTTGATGAAAAAAGCCCCTCTTTCAAATGTCACTTAAGTGGGTCTCATAAATTTATAGTTTTGAGTACATTATTGGCGTCAGGGACAAAAGATATTTTGTTAACAATAACTTAAGCTTATCACTCAACTATTTTAAACAATGGTATGTTGTTTTATTCTGTAGATCTTGAATAATAATATATGAAATATGACATTCATAACTGGTACAAAAAACAATGTCTCATATAAACTAAGAATTAGCAGTATAAGTCCTTAAAAGTTTTATAATAAATTAATTAATTAAGATTTACATGAAACTAGGCGTTCATTCCAATGAAAAAATCTACACGTTTGGAAGAACAATATCAAAAACCATGTTCTTGAACATAGTGAAAAATCAACATGTTTGCTACATGAAGTCGAATAGTATGGATACGACTTCTTAAGTGCAAAAAATAATCAGTATTTGTTTTTATTTTCGAAATTATTTTTATATAAACATACATATATATATATTTTTATATATATATATATATATATATATATATATATATATATATATATATATTTATATATATATATATATATTTATATATATATATATATATTTTTATATATATTTATATACATACACACATTAATAACACAAAAATTTGTCCCCCATGATGAGAAGTCCGACCAGCCATAGGCAGCGTGAGTGTAAGTGGTGTTGCAAGGGTCCATAGGCCACCCTGGTGCAGCATTTTCATCTAGTACCTCACAACAATATGGATGGTAGTATATATAGTGTATGTGTAATTGTTACTGTTGGTGTGGTGTGGTGTGGTGCGCCTCGTAGCAATTAAAAACACACATTGCCTGGTCACAGGCTTTACAGAATGTGGATGTACGGGTTCGGCAGATGACACATTTCCGTTTTAAACGGTGTTTCTGGTCAGGCCTAATGTAACTGTATTGTGCCGGACAATGTATGGGTGTTGTGAGTGTTGTTGTGGTGGGTGAAGGTTGTCGGTGTGCTGCTAACAAATCCATTATTAACACTTTCCGGAATTTCCGGTGTGTTAATAACGGATTTGCTAGTATTATATGTCCATTAAGGACGCTAGCGTTAAGGAGGCGCCTAAAAAACTTTTTATACCACACTCTAGTACGTCTCCTTTCGATGGGGTACATAGCCAGTTGCTGATCTTTTTTATCTACACCACCCATACAAATGTTGTAGTCCTGCACGACAGTCGGCTTCGTGATATCGCCACACCTGGAAGATGCGATACCATGGTATGTGGAAATAAAAGCCACGCGGTTTTTGTCCCTCCACACCATGATATCAACATCTCCCGAGGTGCAACCCACCACTTGGCCGACTGCCATGTCACTTTTTGCAATCCTGGCTACTTCCGTGGGCACAAATTGGCGGTTCGTCCGCAGCGTCCCCACACAATCGAAGCCTAGCGACTTCAATTCGCGGGCTAACGCTGGGGAGTTATAAAAATTGTCCATCCATACTGTGTGGCCCTTATGCTCAAGACCACTTAAAAGTCTGAGCACAAGAGCAGGTATTGTACCTGAAACAGGACCTTCCTGAGGGTCCGAGGTGTCATGGCCTGCATGGACTTCGAATCGCCACAAATACCCGGTATGCGATTCACATACTTCGTATGTTTTAATTCCCACTGTCGCTGCCTTGTTCCGGATGAACTGGTTTATATCAAGCCAGCCCTTCCACATGGTTAAACTCTCATCGAGAGCCACATTTTGGGAGAGTGTATAGAGTTCGGAGAATTTGCGATTCAAGTGATCGATTATTGGTTTGACTTTAAATAATTTGGCTTCGGAACGTGTCATCACAGCAGGGTCATAATTATTGTTGTTATTAAAATGTAGGCACTTGGACAGGAGTAGAAACCTGTCAAGAGACATTTCACTGTGGAAACCAGGAGTGCTAAATATGTCTCTTGAAAGGTTCCAGTACTCCTCTATACGGCTTTTCACGACCATTCCCATCGCTAACACTATGGCAAAATACGTGTATATTTCATTTACACACGTATCTTTCCATCGTGTTATGCGGCTGTTGGGAAACATGGTGCCGTTTGTAATCATGGCAGTTGATAGTTGCTGGACGTAAATATTTGTTTGTTTCACAATTTCGTCCATGATTTCATGATTCCATATGGCAGTGAATGCTTCATATGGAGTCGCGACAGAAACCGTAGGGCCACTATTATTTTGGGAGTTGGGTTCTCGCCTCAAATGAGGTTCAATTTGAGGCGTTTCAAACCCTCTCCACTCAAATTCAAATTTATTATAAGGTCCAACAGACGGTGAGTCGGGCATCGGCAAGGCGGGTGTCGGTAAGGTGGGCGTCGATAAGGCGGGCTCTGGACGAGAGAATTGAGGAGGCCACTCCAAAGAAATATGGAGGGCACCTTCCTCAATTGCCTCATCGTCTTCGTCCATAAAAATCCTTGCCACCCGGGGCATCAGTAACTGCTGGGTAGACCCTTCGTCTTCGTCGTCAGACTCTTCCT